TCATTCATGTACCGTCTCTTTGGGTCCATAGGACACGTAAATCCGGCAGAAGTGTATGGGTAATGTAATCCACAATAGCGCAGTTTAGGTAACGAAATCGCGGGCAGCTAACAGCTCCTTCAACACAGCTTCTGCCGTGGAGGTGATGTCGGAAAAATCTGATGATGGGGTAATAACAACAAAGAAAATATTTAATCCCGTTACTCGCCGGAAAGTACGGGAGTAATGAAACCATAATGCGCTGGCAGCTTCCACTGCTGATCGCGTGTACCCGGCGGTTGTAACCAGTGCTGGGATTCCGCGCCGGATTTTACGAAGGAAATTAACCAGCCTGCATAAGCGTTTGCGGTCCGCGCAGAATCCCTTCATCAACTCCTGATGTGTCACCTTGTCCTCGTGGATCAATTTCATACACGTAGACAGCCGAGGATTCGGTATTCGGGCAGTTCTTGTGAGCTCGCCATGCCAAAGCCCTCAGAGACATGTGTTTGCATGTTTTGTTTCTTAAAAACGACTTGCTTTTGTGTGTGTGCTAACAGTGTGCTTAAGGTCTAGGTGAACGTGCCAGGAGACTTCTGGGGAGTATTCAGTCAAAAAGTAAATATGTGTTCTTAAAAAGCGTGGATAACTTGTTAAAGTGCGTGACAGTATATACTTTATCGTCCTCTTTAGGATTTACTGCAGGACATATATGGTCAAAAAGTAGGGTAACTTGGTTATTGTGACCAAAGTCTACGCTTGTAATCATTCTGTTAAGCATTAATTCTGCGTTGATGAGCACACGATCAAGTATCGACGGCTTGTTAACAGGTCGACATCTGGTGGGCAAAGCGGTGGTTGTACAGAGGGTAGCTAAGTTTTAAATTGTGCACCATCGGTTCCTGGTATTTTCAAGTCGTGCATATAAAATTCGCCTGCAATGAGAATGTGGCTGTATGACTTCTTCAGTGTCACCTTAAAAAGGTAGGTCAGTTTGCAGTCCATTTCCGGCGTACACTTTGGTGAACGGTTTTGCAGTCATGGGCCGCACCAAAGCGAAGCAGGGGCGTGGATTTCTGGGTGATACGTAAGTCCACATGACAGGTTAGTTTAGTAATGAAGAATTACTCTAACCCCGCTTCTATCATTTCGGAGCAGCAACATACCGGGAAAACTGATCTCAGAATCGGATATCTCAAGGCTTAACCAGGTCTCTGTAATATTGATAGGGTTTCGCAAATGTGAGGTGTGGTACTTTCTAAATTCAAGTTACTAAGAAGGCCTTTGGTGTAGACGTATAAACAGGATAGTGGGTTGGATGTTAGGAGTGTCAGCTGTACGCCGTGACGGAGCTTCGCTCCGTGCGACCAACACCAGTAGCATGCGGGCTGAGTATACCGTGCGGACTCCCACCTCCATACGTGGATTCGAACCAGCGCTGCATGATGATGTGACAAGCTCGTTACCTCTAGGCTACGGGCCGTGGATATCAAATTCGTGTTTGGTTTTAAACCGACCGTTAAATGGTCGGCCGCTAATCGTTTTCGTAAGTCGTTGGTTTATGAATTTAAACCCGGCTGCATGGCGTCACAGTGTTCCGAATAAATATGTTCTCTCGTGCTTCACTCCGTCTTGTCGAGTGCCATGGGTGCTGTTGTTTTGATCTCTTCACTGGACTGTGGAGACAAAGATTTTACTGAGGTTTCAAGTTCAGGCGTATTGCTGACCACACGTGGCTGTGCGCCTGCTACCTTTAGCCTGATCTCGGATGGTCACCTAGTATGAAACTTCAACAAGTTATCCAATAGAACTTGTGTCATTCCTCCGAGTGTATCACCAGTTTCATTAATCATGGACCGCCGCGCTTGTAGTAATTTGATGAAGAAATTCTCATCAACGATTTCGCTTTAAGATAGTCCAAAGAAAGTGCTTTGTACAGGCAGCACTACTGCTCTCGGTCAGGTATTTGCGCTTCGTGATGAGGAAAATCCGGAACCTCAGAACACCGTGAACAAAGGGTTTTCTTGCTATCGCTTTCAAGTCGGTCACCTTAGCTGTCCCCTTTCTTTGGGTGATCTTTGCAATGAAAATCGGATAACATGCGCATCCCACTCTGTGAGTAGCGAAGATGGTGCTGAAATCAGGATGGAATCTGTCTCATCTGCTGAGTTAAGCGTTACTAGAAGAACTCGAGGTTCATCATAGTACACTGAAGTTGTGTGACACGCTACGCGTCTCAACATACTGGGCTCAACCAAACCCGTTACAGATGGAATTCCGCCGGTTGTGATGGTTTTGGAACTTGTACTGATAGTGGTAGATTTGGACTCGGGAAGGTTGTTTGGAATGTTATTAGAATAATCTATATCCTGCGCTTATTTAACATTTTCTCGGCCCCTATTGGGGAAGTGCTCAGTTGTGTACGGTAGCACAAACAAATGCATTGCATTAGAACAAACGCCTACTACCTCATCGAAATTGGAATAGTTTGAACGATGTGAAAACCTAAACTTGAAACCCTCTGAGTGAGGCACATAAATCACAGCATAATCGTATTCTTTAAGGTCTTGCAGAATAAAATGCATGTTTGAAACGCTAACCTAGTAATAGTATGCCCACCCGAATACAACACATAAAATAAGAATTCAGTAGAGAAATACAAGTCCAAGACCACCAGATCCGCGAACTTCTTCCGTAACAGATATGCAAGAACTTGGAACGAATTACGATCCGAACTACGTGCTTGCGATCGAGAGTATGAATTTTTGCATGAGGGCCAATAAATATTTGACTGTGTAAAACGTGATCAAGCTATTGTGATTGCGTGAGAAATAGCCAAACCTATGAACAAGGTCCAGGATTCGTATGACCCAGAAAAATCTACAACATAAAGTGAATATAGAAGTGGAAAAGCCTCTACGCTCATCGTCTTCATGTCCTTTCTTCTTCTTACACGGCTACACCAACTCCAAAGTATTGAACACTACATTCTCTATCTTCACTGTCGATGTCCCTATTACTTTTATTGTAGTCTATGCTTACATTTCCAGTCTCGTGTAGGTGCCACAACCAACATTCGATATTCCTGAGTAGACTTGAGAGAAGCAATCGTTGTTATAAAACACATACATACATACATGCACTGTTGATGATTCCCGAAAGGATGAAACGCGCGTACAGTGCTTTTCCGGGCGTGTGGCGGCTGTCTGAGTGAGCCTAGATGTGACGAAGTTTCTACCTATACCATTCAACTCCCCCTACTACCCTTCTGTAACATACATACATTATGTCAAACACATTTCCTATCCATAAACATCATTTATGCCTTTCCTATACAATGTGCCTACCGATCCCGAAAGACATCCTTTATAGCGTCAGATAACGCAGCTACACAACAACCAAAAATTATGCCCTAGTAAAATGGAAAATTGATTGACATTACTGCTGCACGTTTTCCGGTCATCCACGCTCATGGCATCAGAATAAGCTTTTAAGTACCCGAACATAACGTAACAGACATGTCTCGCTGAGAACGAGAATATGCAATTTATTGTTTGCTGGTGGAAAAAGACGCTGCAATTCGGGCCAATATTACTATCTCGATGATTGGAAATATTGTTGAGAAACAATCATCCTCGAATTTAAGTAACCCGTCAGGGTTAGAAGAGTTATCATTAGGTGGGCACGCACCAGATCATGGTCAGAACAGATACAAATACACACCTATAGCGGAAGATGCTGTGAACAATTTCGGTTCAGAGTAGTCTGTTGTTTGGTGTCAGCTACGTAACTAGATGCGAGCGCTTGTGTTCGAAAACGATGCTGCAATGATGGCGGTTGTGATCAAACGCCTAGCTAAACAAAGCGACAAGATTCCACCAGGAAATTACCTCCGAGATTTGATTCTGATGGGAGACCAAATTGGGCGCTCATTTTGGCCGCAAAAATGGTGATATGCGTGCATTTGTCCATTCGACTGGGTTGTGGTCTCTTGGACGTTAGGCCACAAAGATACAAAAGCCTGCTTACTTCATCCGCTGATGTTACTTTCGATAGAGCTTCGAAGTTGTGGGCCACAAATAGGGGCGTTCGCTGGGATGCAGCCGAGAACAGAAGTACGCTAAGAGCCGTTTCAACACCGTGAATAACGTAAATCGTGAATGCAGTATCATCGGAAACACGAAGTGTGCAACGTCAGTCACTGGAACGCCAGTCTGCTAAGCGCTGATGGAATAGGACATGTTTGTCCTGTATGCGTGTTCCGGAGATTTAGGAAGTGTGAAGCCAAAGTGAGTGTCGTCTTTAAAGCGATATGTCGATGCACAGACTGCATGACAGCATATGGAACAGTACCCTATGTTTTAAAGTGTGACTTTCGATATAACTAGTGACCTCATCTCATTGAGGTGGTCAAGATCCATTGTTGCTTAGACAGAAGACGATCGGAGGTTGATGTGACTTCCGAAGGAACGTAGAACGCGTTTAATACAAGGCACATCCAAACATTAAGAGTAGTAAGAATGATAGATAAGTACCAAACACAGATAAACACTGATTGACGAACATATTTACACTGGAACGGAATAAGCTCCTGCGATACATTTTAGATGACGGTACCAAATACGAACCCCGTTTTCCACTATCAGCTCCCGTTTAGGTGGTAAAGCCGAACCCTCCAATTTACGGCACATGAGCAGATCGGTAAAGTTAATGATGATAATTCAAAAGACAACATGCAAGATAACAATATTTATAACATCAATAACATTTATAGAATACGCATATATATATATATATATATATATATATATATATATATATATATAGTACGTCTTTATTGCAGCAAATCCCAAAGTCAATATTGAAGCGCAAAATTGGTTAAATTGAGTGTTACCTAAAACTAGAGCTGCTACAAATAAACTAATCTGATATTTGAAATTAACGCTCTAAATATATCCTGAAACAGGACTTACATTTTTTGCTAATATGTAAATTCTGTACGGCAATGTAGTAGAACTTACCTCGAGTAAAACTGGTAGGACAGGGTCCAATGGGGTGCAATATAGCGGGAGAGGTCTGACACAGTTGTCTGAAACCGGGCTCAGTGCTTGATTTTGTTGAATTTTAAGTAGGACGTCAACCAACTCGTTTATGTAAATGTACACTTTTTCAAGATTGGAAACCGTCTTGATGCTGTTCAAATTCCCCATGATCCCCAGAAAACGACGCCAACAGACTATGATGGACTCATGTGTCCATCCACGTGCCATTCCGCCGGCCAAAATGCAGCGTGGGGGTTTTGTAGGCGCAGTCGTTAAGGCATTGGTAGCGGTTTGTGTCCTGCTCGGTGCATGGCCAAGATCGATACCTATTGGATTGCAAGACAAAACAATGGGTCTGACTTACACTAACGAAAAGATGTACGTGAAAGAAAGGCGGCGAAAATCATCCAGAGGGCGCACGAGGTAGTTAAACGAAAAAGAACGAAAAATAGAAAAACGAACCCAAGTATAAAGATAAGGGAAAAACTAACCTGAGGGCGCATGATGAGAGGAAGCCGTCAAAGTTCCGCCGCGGTGTGAAACAGAGCTTTCAGAAGAGCGCTGTATATCACCTGAGAAAAAACGGTAAAACATGGCGGGATGATGGGAAGAAAAGGGGGGAAACAAGTGTTCGAGTCCACAGCGAGAAAAAAGGAAGGTAAAAATACCAACTAACTTGATGATGGCGATTTGAAATGATGTGTCTGAAAATATAAAGTAAACAACAGCACCGATTAGAAGAGAAGATCGAGGATTGCTCAGCAAAAATGTGTTTATATGACATATCGAGAAGCAATTGGAGAGTACGCAGCATATAAAGATACGGAAAAAATACAACAGCATGCACCCAGATATAAGAAGAGACACAAGCGCGTAATTGAGAAGTAAAAACTACTGCGGGGTGGATTCTGTAGAACTCAAGCACACGTGATTATAGAACGCAATACGAAAATAAAAGGAGCGGAAAAATATGGTGAAAGATGCAAATGGAGACAACATTCAATAGAGAAGTAAATGTAGGCGGTTCAGGTTGTTCAATTGTTAGATGAACTGTTCGCTGAAGCTGGCAATTTTCCTACACATTTCTTCACGTCGGAGTGACATCACCAGTGCATTAGTGTGTAGCTTAGCGATATGTAAGTCGGTGTGAACCGGATAGTCGCACGTGTGCGTTTTTATAGGTCATCGTCACTGGTCGTCTAGGCAAGTGACTTTGGAAAAGGGCCTCTTTGACCCATGCATAGTGACCATTACCTGTTTGTCTCCGCGGATGAAAATGTTGCTTGAGGTGCTTGTATGGCAGTTCCACCATCACCACAGTCGTATGAACCTAATGGAAGAGGACACCACCGCTCCGCTCAGCTATACATCAACGTACTGATGAGGGAGCGTCGACATGTGACGAAACGTTTGCAGCAAAACTGCCAAGCTGTGCGAACAATTCGACTAACAAATGACGACATTTGGTTGAAAAGACACCCACCATTCACATGCATTCCTGGCGTCAGAAAAGGCATCAGCAGCATGCCAATATACACAGTAGCGATGCTTCGCTGCAGCGTAAGCACCAACAGCGTAAGCACGTGGCCTAAGGATATTGAGAGAGTCACCAGATACCCTATGCAGGCTCGAGTCCGCGTCCTCGGATTACAAGGCAGTTGCGATTCTTAAGAACACGGGCCGGCACAAGCGTTACTGTTGTCATACAGAATGAACGCCGAAGCGTCAGTAGTTCGCATGTGGACAGCGATGGACTCAGGTGAGTGGTACTATCATTGATAACCGGGCGCTTTGGAACACGCGCCTTGATTGCCAGAGTGTCGAAGTCCGAGCTGGGCTTCTCTAGGCATTCTCGTGGAGCACGGTAAAAAATTCTCTCCTATAGTGAACGACAAACGATTACATCTCAAGATAAACTGATCCTTCACTAACGCCTTGAGGACGTCAAGTATCAGCGGAACTGAATATAAAAAACTATCAATGGTTCGCGTGTCTATGAACACAGCAGTAGATAACGCGTCACACAGAGGAAATTGGAGACATGGAGTAGGTGTATTAGATCCAGAAGCAACCTTTCTGGCAACGAACACGATGAAAACAGACGTGAAAAACCCGGGGAAATTCAGCAACCAAACAATGGAGGAGGGAAGAATCAGTCTGCGCCACTGGACTCAGGGGATACAAAGTTGATGAGAAAATCAGAGAGCAGCAGTGACCTTCTCTACAGGAAAGAACGTCGGTTGGTCGGTTCAGTTGGCCCAAAGATTCAAACCATTATGAGTACAGACAATGCAGGCTGAGCCAAAGCAACAGCTTACAGTGGCCATCTAAACACTACCATGATGTTGGTGGTTCGGTGTTGCTCCTCCCAACCCCATGACCGGTTTCGTCCACCTTTGGACTCATCAGATGGAGATACCCTGAGCTGGGGTGGACCTCGAGGTATAGTGTTCAAAGGTTGACGCCCTGACAACTATGGCTCCTAGGTCCGCGAGCAACGTTTGGCACAGCGGTAAAGTGTTCCAAGTGGCATTTGGTGTACTCGCTGTGTGGTTGGATTGCGACTCGCAATCTCTATTCAGACCTCGGTCATTACGATCACAAGGACCGTAACCGAATTGGTGGTTCGGTGTTGCTCCTCCCAATCCTGAGACCCCATGACCGGTTTCGTCCTCCTTTGGACTCATGGGGTCTCAGGGTTGGGAGGAGCAACACCGAACCACCAATTCGGTTACGGTCCTTGTGACCGTAATGACCGAGGTCCACTTAGGACCGATGTCTGAATAGAGATTGCGAGTCGCAATCCAACCACACAGCGAGTACACCAAATGCCACTTGGAACTACTATGATGTTGGCTCGAACACTTTTGTTCGGTTAGCGTGCGTTAGCTAGGCTACAGAGTCCAGAGGATCAGTTGCTTGACCCGTGCGCGCGTGGGTTCACTTGTATGTGGGTGTGTGTGTGCGCGCACACAACTGCCCCACTCCATCTCCAGGCCCCACTCTGCAGAAATATCCCGACCTGACCACGGTTGCACGTCCGGAGACGTTCGTTGAATTGTGGCTATTATCGACAAACGTAGCCGTGGAATCTAGCCCACCTATCAAACTCAAACTGCGAGAAATCACACAAGGTTGATTTTCATTGCATTATCTTAACTTGGCGCCTGAGTCTGAACATCGACAAGCTTAGATCGCAATGGCCCTACCGAAATCACGCCGTATTCGGCAAGCTAAGCGTAGTGTAGTTTACACGCCACCAGCAAGGCGAATAAAATGCGAGACCTCAAAAGATAAGTGAATTTGTTCCTCGCCTAAAAGTAACTTCAACGCAGAACTAAGTGATAAATTGCTCTATTTGGAAGCACAACTTAATGAGATGAGAAAAACGTTGGAACTTTTTGGACCCATCAAAAATCACTTGATTACGTTTGACTTCATCAATAACCCATTGAAGAAAACTAATCCTGTTCTAATGGGAAAAGCAAGGTAGTTAATTGCATCTGAAGTGCACGAACGAATATGTAGAGCAAAAAAGTGATTATTTTTAATGTTTCGGACAGGTTGGGTATGGATAAAGTAAAACTAAGGATACTGAAATGTTGTAACATGTCTGAGGTTGACTGCAAATAGCAAGTTTTAAAAATGAAGACACCGAAACAATCCAAACTTTTTTAAATTTTTGAGCGAGGAAGTCGCGCAGCGATTCCTCCATTGTGGACCCATCCTAGGCCAGTGTACCCAATTTAATGGCATTTTGAGTAAACCAGATGGGATATCCCTACAAAGGTTCAAAATTGGGACTGTGCCGCGAACACCGGAAAAATAACTAGGCTCTTCGAGAAGTCTCAGGCAAACACCCAAAAGACGAGTGCATCCAAGATGGATACTAGACGCATTGATTTAGCCCTCGATAATGTAACAACGTTGTCAACTAGCTCTAAAGCCATCCCTCCATGCTCCCCTGAAACACTCTCTGCACAACGAACGAATAAAGCAGGTTCTCCTAATCCTGACAGCACTCCCATTAAATTGAACTCCTCATGCATAAGGGTTAAAGGAAAGTCAAAGTGATTAGAACAGTGGGGTAATGACAACTCGTTGAATATATCACAATCCGGTCCAAACCAACAAGAGACGTCTAAAGATAGACAACCTAATGCAATTCATAGCACTGTCGCAGAAGGATGACTTATCCAATCCAGAAACCTGTCTTTAAAAAACCTATGGATATTAAATACTAGGTGGCACCCAAAATTCCCTATCGACCAATCGCCTACAACCACCAGGGCAAACAACCTTCCATGTTGAATAAGACCAATAACAAATGTCTCTTGGCTACGCCTAATTATCATCCTACACTCCACAACAATCACTGGAAGCGTACAGATAATGGAAGGACATCGATCAGTAGGACTATGTTACCACGCGCTCCTTTCTATGTTCCTTCAATCTCTCGAGCGGCTTTTTACAACAACCACTTTTTAGCGACGACGGGAATGGACCCGCAACCATTCCCATCTCAGATAGATCCGACAGAAGTCAACATTTTGATGTTCATATTCTTCCAATTTTTCTAGATGACAAAGCTAGATCAATACAAAACAAACGGCAACCTAAGCATGCCTCAGGTCCCGTCGTGACGCCAACTGTCTCGATATCCATACATGACATGCTGCGCTTATCAACAAAAGTGCTACGGGCTAACCGGGGCCCACCATACTCGCAATTACCTACTATATGTAGCATGCTCGAACGCAAAGATTCAGATGATCACACAACATACAGCGATAATTCCCCAATAATTAGTCCATTTTCAATGATTCTGATTAATGCTAGATCCATAATCAACAAACTTTATTTTATAAACACACTTGCACAGTTCAATGACCCACAAGCGATCAGATACGCTTGACTCCACTCTGATGATTCCAAACTACCACCTACTTCGAAAAGATCTCTGCGACAGAAAAGATGAAGAATGTATTATATATCTACGCAAAACATTTAGAGCTAAAATTATAGACCATTCACAATTGGAAAATATCCCTAAATCTATTCGGCTGTCAGTTGCAAGTGTCTCATCTTACACACTGCTTGCATGTATCTACAACCCACCGAATGCGTCCAACGTAAGTGTCACCAACATCACTTCTGCATTTGACACCGCACCAGAGTTGCCATAGAGTCAGAAGATTATTGCCGGCGATTTCAACCTACCGAAATTACGCTGGTCACAACACCCAACGTCTACTTTGCACGCCACTTTTTTTTCTTCCATCAAAGCTGGGGGCTGGATACAATGGATTACCAGTCCCACCAAGTTCACCAATGTGGTTGGCGGCATTCGGTTTCGGATTTGCCTGTCACTGTGGCCATCCACAGAACGACTGCGAAAACAGAGGGGTCATGGGTGGCTTGCGCTGCACCACCCACAGCTCCAACCACACACCCCATATCCAGTGTAAACCCGAAGGAATAAGACCGGGAGGCATGTGGATGGGAGCCACGTTTCATCAATGGAGCCGGCCCACACTCCTTCACAGGCAACCACAATCACGCTGTATTTGGGAATCAAGCGCACACAAGGCGGTGGCTGGACCGTAGTCCACTCCACACTGAGTGCCTGGAACCACTCTTTGATCGTAACACAGCCACAAGGACCATGCACCCCGCACCCTCTAGCAATGACCAACTGTCTCCTGCAGCCAGTATGGACGAGGTAGTGGGTAATAGACAGGTAGGTACTGTTACAGAGAACCAGCTTACCGTCAGCGTACCAGCCGAGAACCGTGGCGCAACATTGGATCAATTTACAATTGGAGATCGAACGCAAGCAGAAACGAAAACGTGAATCAATGTGGGGTCAGCGACAAGTTGAACTCTGAACTTGAACCGTGTGAGTTGTGTTAATTAGCATTAATTAACATCTCCAATATCGATGTGTTAGTAGTTGCCTTCAACCTATTTATTGCGATATGATCTGAAACAATACGAATCCCTCAGTCCGGCAGATCTGGGCGTTCTCACTTCGTTGCGGGTTGAACCGGTTGGAGGCGGCACAACAGATTTCTGGCGACGGAAATGTTGGATAACAATGGCCATTCTATTTGAGCAGATGCAGCAGCTCCTTCATCAACAGCAGCTCCAGTTTGAGAAATCCCAGAGGCAATTGTTCGAGTTATTTGCGCAGAAGTTGAACGTTCAATCTGAGCCACAAGCTGCTGGCACATGGTCTTCAGTAGACACGGTCACAACAGCAATCACATAGTTCGTCTTCGATGAATCAAACGGAGTAACATTTGATTCCTGGTTCAAGAAATATGAAGATATTTTCCGTGTTGAGTTGGCGGCGCAAAAGGATGCGCGGAAAGTTCGGTTGTTGCTGCGTAAACTCGGTGCAGTTGAGCATGAAGGCTATACCAATTTTGTGCTGCCAAAGAATCCAAGGGATTTCCGCCTCGGTGAGACTGTGCAAACTCTGACGTCCATTTTCGGTGAGCAACCATCTTTGTTAAGTATCCGATATAATTGTCTAAAGTTGCTCAAACGTGACAGCCATGATTTTATAACACATGCTGGAGTTGTGAACGTTTGAAACTCGGTACGATGACACCTGATCAATTCAAAAGTCTCATATTTGTTTGCAGTCCTCAGACTCATGCCGATGTTGATGTGCGCACACGCATCCTACACAATTTAGAGCAGGAACCCTATTTGACATTACAGAACATTGCTGTTGAATGCCAGAGACTGATTAACTTAAAGCATGATACCAAAATGATTGAAAATGCTGACCCTAGGAGTGAACCACAGATTTACCGCACGGCTGTTCGAGGTAAAAATGTGGGCCATAGAGTAGCCAACCAGAAACGAATGACCTCATGTTGGAACTGTGGTGGATGGCATTTTGTGCGATTCTGTACTTACAAGAAGCATCTCTGTCAAAAGTGCAAACGTCTGGGTCACAAAGAATCACACTGTCGCAAAACGTACGATTCCAGGCCTGTCTCTACCCCAAACTTGTACACGAACTCTAACTCCAAAAAGACGTCGTTTCGGGGAGCAAAGACAAAAGTAGTTCTCGCGACCTGTCGCACAGAATTTGCGGGCAAACGGAAGTACCACACCGTCAAAATAAACCATGTTCCTATATCTTTGCAACCGGATACGGCATTGGACATTACCATCGTTACTCGATCATCATGGACGAGACTTGGCAAACCTCCACTGAGGCGCACCAATCTGACTACCCAAAATGCATCCGGCGAACCACTGAGGTTAGATGGTGAGTTCACATGTTACCTTAAATTCAAAGAACCGAGTC